AATATTACTATATGGGAAAATTTGAGTAATATGATCGAATGATTTTTGCACATCATTCCAGTACTGTCTGCTAAATTCAAGAAAATGTATGTATTTATGAAATAAATTACCTAAATTATCTGAATATCTGAATAGCTGATTTGTTGACAACACTTGCTTAACTAGCACTAGTGAGAGACAGTTACAAAATGTTTTCATCGTTGCCAATGCCAAAAAAATGCCATTGTTCATTAAATCCAAACAATGATGGTCAAATTCTAACAACTGATCAACAATGTGAACTTTGATAAGCAGTTCTCGATAATCGGTTCTCAACAATTATTTATTACTAAAGTTTAACATTATAAAATTAACAAAAATAATATAAAACTCATATCCTGGCGAAATAGCCACATGGCAGCTGAAAACCGCATATTCCCTTCCCATTCTCCCGTTGTTCTCTAGTTTGTCGTGCATTCTTTCCAAAATCGGGATGTTTTTAAAACGCAGCGGGACGCGGGACAAATTGTTAAAAATCAGGACTGTCTCACCAAAAGCGGGACGGCTGGTCACCTTACCTTAGGGGGGTGTTCAGGCCCAGTCTTGAGCATTTCCAAGCAGACAAGATGGCGAAGAGCAAATGCTCAGAGGCAGAAAATCTCATGGCTCTGTGAAAAGGGGAGGTGTTCCCACCTTTTAGCTATAAAACCTTGTCCCCCTAATTCCCCCACCACTCCACCTTACACCATCCCTCCCCAAGAGCCCAGGCCTGGCAGCCCTCAAATCCAGGAAAGGAGTTTGGATCTTGTCTTCTCCCCTGAGCCTGGGGAGGCTAAGGGAGCAAAGGTGTGGCAGGGTCAGACCTGGTGTGGCCAAGCACCTGGGGCTCAATATTTATTCAGTCGATCAGCAAACACTAATTGAACAAGACCAAAGAAAATGTTCTAAAACTGTGGCGATGAGGGTTGTACAGTTCTTCTTGATGTGACTGAACTATTAGATTGTATGATATGTGAATTACAGGCCATTAAAACTGCTTAAATTAAAAAAAATATTAAATGCTTTTATTGGGGGCTCTTACATCTCTTATCACAATCCATACATTCATCCAGTATGTCAAGCACATTTGCACATATGCCACCATCATCATTTTCAAAGCATTCTCTTTCCACTTGAGTCCCTAATATCACCTACCCATTTCTTCCCCCTCCCTCCCAAACCCTTGATAAGTTATAGATTATTTCCATATCTTACATCATCTTCCATCGCCCCTCACCCACTTTTCCGTTACTTGTCCCCCTAGGAGGGGGTTCTAGATTGATCTTTGTGATTGATTCCGTTTCTCCCCCCACCCTCCCCTAATCCTCCTGTATCTCTATCTCTACTCTCATTGTTGCCCTGAGGGGTTTATCTATCTTAGATTCCCTGTGTTGCAGGCTCTTATCTGTAGCAGTGTGCATGCTCTGGTCTAATCTGATTTGTAAAGTAGAATTGAGGTCATGATCGTGGTGACGGAAGCACCAAAGAACTGGAGGAAAGTTGTGTTTCATCGGTGCGATACTGCACCCTGACTGGCTCATCAAATTTTTAAAAATCCTAACCGAGCCAAGCAATGTTCAAGATCCGTAGGAGAGTCTAGTGGGGGAAATGCAGATCAGTGACCTTTGGGACATCCATTGTCCTTACAGGAGGCAGACAGGAAACAAAAGCAGCATATGTCAGAGGTTACAATAAAATCATCTATTTCTGGAAATAGAGCAGGATAAGGGGACTCCAAAGTTGCAATTTTACAAGGAGTCTGAGCGGGCCACTAAAGGTGCCACTGAGTAAAGTCTTGAAGGAGGGAGAGTGCTAGCCAAGCCACACCTGGGAGAGAACATTCTAGAGTGTGAACTGCCAATGGCATGGTGTCAAGGGCTCAGAGGGGAGTAGAGCAGCAAGACCATAAGGAAGCTGTTGAAAGCTAACAGTACACACCAACAGAGGTGGTGGGCAGGGGGAGACCTACACCCGTGGCCATCAAGTTAATTCCAACTCACAA